GCGCAACTACCGCGAGGGCATCCTGATCGTGATTGGGGGCGTGCTCATTCTGATCATCTGGACCGCCTGGATCATCCTATCGCTCTTTGGTGACGAGTGGCGGGATGCGGCCATTCCATTGGGACTGCAGGCCACCGGCTGGGCTGTCCTGGTGGGCATACTCATACCACGTGCGTTCCTTATTGTACGGGGCATTGAACGCTCGGATATTGCCCAGGCGCTGCCCTCGCTTACCTCCCTGGCCTTTGCCCAAAACAATCAGTATTCCTCCGAGCAGGTGAGTTCTTCCATTGCAGGCCATTCGACAGCCTCCTGACATCTCCTTCTTTCAGAGCGTTTATGAGTGTGTAAATCCTGCTATGCGTCACTGTTCGCAGGAGGAGGTGAACCATCAGTCGCCCAGCGAGATACCCACGTTGCCTCTGCGCGGCGGCGGTCCACGACGTCAGCAGTTCTTTGCCAATCTTCGCCAGGCCAATGCCAATATCAATCCGCAACGTCCACCGCCACGCCCACAGCAGAGTCCCTCACGCTCCTCCGTCTGCTCCCTGCCGCCCTCACCCGAGCACAGCAAGATCACACGTTTCTGAGCGGATCCGGGAATAGATCCGTAGACAGACCTAACCAGCACACCCCAACTTCCGTTCGAGCTCTAGTCAAAGCGCCAAGAATGTGCATTAATTAAATTGCTGTATTCTATTTGTTAATCTAACATTTTAATTATCGATGACCCAATAACCCATGGCCATTTAAGACTTTCATAAAAATAAATGGATAAATACGAGAAACATATTAAAAATCGATATTATTGAATATAAATAAATATGATAAAGCTAATAATATGAATATGAGTATGAAATGAATATAAATAAATGAATAAATATGAAATACAAATGTTAAAAATTTTGTTTTTGTCAATTTTTCAATTATTCTTGTTTATACATATAAGAAACTAGCAAGGTATTTAAGAAACTAGCATTGAAAGTAATAACATTATTTAATAGTAGGCAAAGACAATTGTAGAACGTGTAGAGCATGAGAATTGAATAGATGGAAGCATACATTTTGATTTAAGGAATTAAAAATACAATTATTTTTTTTAAAGTTTAATATGTATTGTATAGATTTAAAAAAAAAAATAACATCAAGAACATATAAATATTTTATATTAACTGATAGCTTAAAATCCGGGTAAGTTTTATAGTTTTATAGCTAAATCAGCATGTCTGTTAAATCAATTTAAATGCAGCAAAATCTGTTTTTTAATTGAGGCCCCAATTCAGGCCGTCCTTCAATGCCTGAACCGCCCGCTCCGATAACTTTTGATTTGCCTGGTTGATGCCTTTGCTAAGTGAAAGCTTTCCATAGCAAGCTTTCTAACGGTAACTTTAATTGGCTTTATAGACACGTGATTATTATAGAAATTGGCTCAAGACGCCCAAAAGAAAACTCAATATCCTCTTTGCGTCACGCGACACTGGCGCCCATTGTTTGGCCTTGAAAAGGGGCGGAGTTTTAGCGTTATTTATGTTTTGTGAGTGTGTGTTTTGCTACATTTATGCGTGGGCCGCTGACGTCAGGCCGCCAATGTCCGCTGCGAGCATTGACCGTGGCACATGAGAAAATGCGCAACAAGACATCAGCTATAAATGTTTGACCACAGAAACTACCAAAGTCCGCCAAAAAACACAAAAAACAAAACAGAAACAAAAATCTAAGCAACATTGCAAGGCCGCCAAAGAACACGCGACTATCTGAAATGGCGTCGCTTTTAAACGCTGTCGCCACGCGCCAAGCATTAGATTCAGAGCAGAGAGGGGAGGGGGGGGGTGAGGCTGGCAGCCGCAGTAAAGTTATGCCGACAAGTTTTATCTGGCTGGCAACGGCAAGTAGAAGTACGTGTTGTGCTGGCCAAATTTGCGTTGCACACTTTGTGGGGCGAGTAGTGGCGGGGGGGTAGGCGCGTTGCTTTTGGCGTACTTCCGGCATAATTTGCACTCCATTTGCCCAAGCACACAGAGAGCACCGAAACACACCGAAAACACAGAAAACATCTTCGCCAGGACATTTGCGCAAATTTGCTTTGCCTTAAATCAAGATAACAAGCAAAACGTTTTGTATTTGCTTTTGACACAAATTTTTAATTAAATTTGCAATTTGGCAAAGCCATTGTGCGTTTAATTAAACCTGTGCCGAGAGAGTAGATGGCTGTAAGGATACTTCCCTATACAGGCTTGAGCTGATTCAATTATTTAATCATTATCTAACGACGCAGTTGCCGTCCCTATTATTTCTATTTATATATTTAAGCTCTGCTAATTGCATTCAAGAACTCACAAGCTGACTGACTGTGTCCATTATAATTGCCAGCGTTATCCTGGCTGCGAGTGGAGAGTGTGCGGCACTTAGCTGTCAAAAGCTCTGCTACGTGACATTATTAAGAGTGCAGTCGTCCATCGTGCATACACTGACCGGACCGGCCACCCCCCAGACAGACAGACAGACGGGCGGACGGACAGTCGAACTGTCTGCCGGGGTGCGTATGATTTATGAGTGGAACGCAACTAATGATGGCACATCCGTTAGATGGCGGGCGTGCCAGGAGGCGCAAGGCAATGCCACTTGCACATGGACATACATATCTATACATTAATAAATAATATGGAAACTACTGCGGCTGCTGCCAGCTGCAAAGCCGAACAGCAGGTCGATATTAAATGATCATTACTGCAAAGAAAACAGAAGCAAAAAACCAAAAACAAAACAACAAAAACGGTTGCAAACTTTTACAATTTTAACCAAAATATCGTGTGATACTCATGCTCAAGTTAAACTTGCTGAACTTGCTAAACTTCCAGCCAATAACAATTGAGACATCTGCTCATTGTACAGCCTGTCGTTTATTTATTTTACTTATTTTTATTTTATTTTTATTTATTTATTTTTTTTTATTTTTGCACATTGTCATTTGTCACATGCCAAGAGGGCTATAAATGCGTTACGGAAGGCAAAGGCGCAGGCTAAGGCAATGGCGAAATTTGCCGGCTGCATGATTCACCAGGCTTTTCTTTTTGGTTTTGTGACGACATCAACGCATGCCGACGCCCCCGCAGCGCGGCATAATACATATTTTGTTTAAGGTTATCTGTCGTCGGGCTGCTTAACTCGCATTTGCCAAACTCATTGGCATGTCGCCAAAAATTTCGACGCCATATCCACAGTCGCGTTGGCCATTTGATTATATTAGTCATGCTTACAAAAAAAGCCATATGACGCTTGGGCACCCGCTCGCCCAGCTAGTGAGCCACCCAGTCAAGAAGCTAGAGCCCACAACAGCTTTTACTACACACACACACACACATACAAAAGACAACGTCAACGTCAGTCGACCCTTATTTTATGGTACTACACAAAAAAAGGGAAAAAACATGCCCTACCATATATAGACGGGGCTTAGAGACGCGGCAGGACGAACAAAAAGCTTTTCATTCATCAGAAATAATCAGGCGAACAAAGTCTTGTGGCAACTGTGTGTGTGTGAGTGTTTGTGCTTGTGCTTGTGTGTGTTTGTCTATGTGCCATTTTGGTGTAGAGTTTGCGCTGCGCAAATTTCACAATCGTGTTCTATTTCTTGGCCCGCTCTAGTATCAAGCGTCTATTTTGGTTAGCTCGGAGCCCCTGCTGCCAACTTGACGAAACTTTTGCTGCTGCTGCTGCTTCATGCTCGGGCTGCCTTTGTTTCTATTTTTATTTCTATTTCTGTGCGTCTTCAATTGCCTAAAGGGATTCATTCATGAAATTTGACAGTCTGACGCGAGGAAGCAAACAAAGCGATTAAGCTTTTTATTTTAATTGCCCCGAGTTTGGCTATTTTTAGGCCAGCCGCTGCGCGAAACCAAGTGGGCGACTTATGAAACTCAATTTTTATTGATTCTCTTTCACATTTGAATGAGTTACATACCGATTAGCATAGAATAAAACTGTCTGTCACTAATTGACAAACGCGTTTGATTTTATGGCCATGAAACTAATTTAACCATAGACAAGTTTCTTAACTACAATCAATAATAATAATATTTATATATAAAATTTTATTGTAGATATAATTTATAAACATAACTATAACTATAGATAGGTTTTTTAACTACAATATTTTATTTGTTAAATATATAGAAAAATAGCTATAAAGAAGTTTCTTAACTACAGTTAATAATACTATTTATTTTTATTTATATTTTTTAATTTATATATTTTTTATAAAAATATAGAACTGCTTATTTATTTCATTTATATTTTTCTTTAATTTCATTTCTATTTATTTTTTTAATTATTTTTTATTTTCATTATTATTATTATTATTATTTTTTTTTTTTTAATTTTTATTCTCTTTCATATTTGAATGGGTTATATATAGAAGAAACATTTTAGATTGAAATCTCCAATTTATGTAAATGTTACAGGTTAAATCAGTATTTATAATATTATTTTTCTTATATTTTTTTATTAATATATTTCACATATTTATATATTTTATATAATTATCATATGTATCTAAATCACATCATATCTATATTGCATATAGTTTGATCTACGCACATACCTATAATACTAACACAAAATTTTGTTTTCTTTTTATTTTTGCTTGATTTTTAATTTAAATATTTATATTTACTACTATTTATATTTAATTAAATTATATTATTTAGTTTTAGCTAACTGTTTCGTTTAATTTTAGATCATTCATTCGCAATCCCATTAAGAGTCCAATATTCTGTTTACTGTTAGCAATTTAAGGGGATCTTCAATGCGTATCTTTTTGCGATTTTGTTTTCTCTCTTGTTTTTTGTTGCCTTCTTCAGAGAATCACTTTCGCTCTCTGAGAACAGCTGTGGCTGACTGAAGCTTTCGTCAAGTTATTGCCAAAAGCTCGCTGAATGGAATCCACATGGCAACAACATCCTTGAACAAAAGGATATGCGCGTGCTTTTGTGGCCAGTACGCGACGTTAACTCATGGCATACACACACGGCAGCGGCAAGTCCGACCCACACACAGACAGAGACACACACACGATATACATATACACGGACACGCTCACGCTTACGCACACGCAAACGCACACGCGCACACACAGGCGCAGGCAAAAAGAGTTTGTGTTTGGAAATTGAAGCGCCAAGTGCCAGTGGCCTAGAAATAATGTGTGAAAATAAAAGTTGAAATTAATAAATAAGAAAATTCCATGTGCAGCGCTGTCGATGAAAAGTGCAAGTGAAAAGTGCCTAAAGCAGAACCACACACACACACAACCATTGCTGAACACACACACACGCAAACACAGTGAGACCCACACAAAGAAAACATCATATGCCAGAGGCAGGCTGTCGCTTGGCAGGCACATTGACAGCAACAGCAACATAAAGGCAGCAGGAGCAGCAGGAGCAGCAAAAAGCATTTTGTGTATCCTATTTTGTGTGTGAGCGAGCGCGTGTCCAAGTCCGTGTCCGTGTCCTTTGCCACTGCCACAGCAGTAGCGACAAGAAAAGCAGCTAACGGCAGTAGCAGCAGCAGCAGTAGCAACAACAACAACAACAACAGCAACAAAAACAACAGCAGCAACAATAAGGGCAACAGCCAACCGTCGCACAGCAATTACGGCGTGTAGTTGCTATAATGATAGATTTCAAAACAAAATTGAGCAAATTATCGTATAAAACGTGCCCCGGTTGGAAAATCTAAAAATAACACAACGCCAATTCCGAGCCGAAGTCGAAGTCGAAGTGGAAGTGGAAGTGGAAGTCAAAGTCGAAGCCAAAAACCAAGTGCCGTCTGCCCAACTGACTTTAAATTATGCATGCACATTGATTTTCTGAGGCGTCGCCGTCGTCGATGTCGTTTTCGTCTTTACTTTCCTATTCATTGTCGTTAACAACAACAACAACAAAAACAACAACAACAACAGCAGCAACAACATCTACATCAGCAACATCAACATCAACAGCAACAACAGCAACAGGAACAGAGCCTGCCTATATATTGGCAATCTCGTAAAGTCATTTCTCGTCCTGCGTTCAGCCCGCATCGCATGTTATCAACGGAACTGACGTCGACGGCGTTGTGGAATGCGAATTATCAGCGCACCAACGGCCTAACAAAAGGTAAGCACTAACAGCAGCAGCAACAACGGCGACAGCAGCAACAACAACAACCGCTAGTCATTACATTAGGCACAAGCCACAACATATTATGCATACGCATGATGTGCGCGGGCCCTCGGGACGTATGTGTAATATTCGAAATCATTCGGCAAAATGTATACAAAGATGCGCCCAAGATAGCAAGCATATGAAATTTAATGGCTGTTCATTATGTGAAAAAAGTCAAACAAGCTAAATGAAAGCTATTAAAATTACGGTAAATGAGTGCAAACCAAATGTCAATAGCAAGAATAGGCGGGGACTATTTACTTGGACAACTTTGACAACACTTTGACTTTGACAACAAATAGCAAGTACATATAAGTGTATATCTGTTCTTCAACATATAATTTAAAAAATATATAAATAAAGATTTTCATTTTGATATGATGTATAAAGAAATACATATATTTTAAAATTTATACAATATAAATCAATTATATATTTACATATAAATCGAAAATGCATATATATTTATATGTATATATATATGTATAAATATTAATAAAAGGATATACTTCTTCTCTCATCATAACAGGAAGAAAATCTTTATTTATTTGCTGAATTAATTAATAATTATTTAAATTCAAATCAAAGGTGAAAATAAATAAATAAAAGTTTGATGAAGATATTATAAAAAAAATAATAAATTTTATTTATATATATATAAGTATGAATACAATTATAGATTACTCCTCTCATCACAGCAAAAGGCAAGTCTCTATTTCTTTGCTGAATTAATTAATTATAATTAAATTCAAATCAAGCAAACTTTGTTCTGCATTGAGAATGAATTCATAAAGCAGAGCTGAATAATATTTTGCTAGCTGCTATCGATTGATTTGAGTTGCCCAAGTTGTTGGCACAAGTAAACAACAAGTCTTAACAATGGAAATTGTAAATTTGTTATACATTGCCATAAATTTTTATAGTACTTTACTAAATTTAGAATCAAAACATAATTCATGATTCCCCAGTAAAAGTTGAGCTAACTGACCAATGGCTGCTCATTATGGTTATTCAGTTGTCTTAAAGTTTAGCCAGTTAATCCATTACAGAGAGGAGCTGTTCATTAAGTGCGATAATAGTTAAGCTCTTACAAGCTTCAACTTGTGTAATGCGCCCTCAACAACATAATTTGCTTGTTATCAGAGTGCGCTAATTGAGTTGGAGCTCCCGTGTCATAGTTGCCCTTTGTCGCATCGGCAAATTTAATTAGACTGCCATAAAGTACATTCGCAGCTCATTTGCTGCGCTTATTAACACATGCACATGCACTCATTGACACCCTCTCACGCACACCCACACACACACACACACACACACACACTCAGGCGGAGACTCCGTTATGCTTTATTCTTTGTTCTCAGCTGCCAGAGGACTGCGATGCTGCGTCATTGTTGCCATTATATTTGCGTTTAATCTGATTTCAATTATAATTTCATTTAACAGCGCTAATGCGCTTTGGCAGCCACTCGCAGAGGCAGCCGTTGGAGCCACTGTCCCTCCCAAGCGCCCATCCTTCCCTATCTGTGCCTATGCCTGTGACCCTATTTCTCTCATTCTCTCCCGCCCGCTCCCCCTCTCCTGGCGTTTCCTGCCTATTTGCTGTGCCCCTTCTTAAATGCAATTTATTACGCTGACAGCCTCTTGGTAGCTGAGGGCGTTCGAATTTCCATGCATGCGCTTTGGCCAGCGTCAACGGTAACTGGCACCGGAAATACAGTTATAAAATGTCAACAACAATGCAAACTCATGCTAGTTCTACATTTCCGGTATGCAAGTTGCCCAATGACGGCGTTGACAACGCGTTTGCATATGTAAATGTGTGTATGTGTGTGTGTGTGTAAATGTGTGTGTGTGTGGGCTGGCTGACGTTGCTGTAACGATTTTATGACTTGATGTCATGCATTGAGCAACAACAATGCAATAACAGAAGCAATAACAACCACAACACCCACACCCACACACACACACCACAAACACACACACACACACGAATGTGCAATTGTAAATTTGGTTAAGCATGCAATAGGGGCGAAAGTTTTGAGTTTATGGCTCCTATTAAGGGACCCAAATTGCATTAATTATACAAATTGTTGGCACATTATAAATAACCATGCAGTTTTGCATATTTTTAGGCAATACAACAGAAATTTCCGGGAAATTATACAACTTAGCTCTATGTCAATGATTGAAGCGATTTTGATGGATATAATACAAATTATAACAGATTTAGATTCATTAAATTTGAGTGAGCTTTTTGATATTTAAATTCTGCACACTGTTGAATGTGGGCTTGACTGAGTGATTATAGATTAAAGAAATTAATAATTAATATAAAAGAATCAATATATCATCTTATTCCATTCAGCCTGAAGGACTTTTTCTATGCGAAAATTCTTATGTATGAAAAATTTTTAAATAATTTGAAGCAAATAATATTAGAAATCAATTTGATTTTAAATGAATATTTTTGGCTTAATGGCAGTCATATATGTATAACGATAATATATATACATATATCTAAATTAATAACATTTATTAATACTAAAATTTAATCTTAAAAGGTTTTCTTCATATTACTATATAAAATCCTAAATTATATACATTTAAATTGTATACATACATTATATACATTTAAAATCTTAAATAAGGAACATTTATTTTTTCATATTATAAACTTAAAAAAAAAATTCTAGAGAGCAACATCTAATGTACATTTCCTCTATCTGTCTTTTTCTCACGCGCAGATGAGGCTTGCCTGTCGACGACATATGAAAATTGCAGAACAGAAACAGCGACAACAGCAGCAGCAGCAGCAGCAGCAACATCAGCCGCAGCAATGACCAAACAATTGACAACAACAACGGCGACAAATGCAGCGTCTAGCATCACACAAACGGCTAATTTGGCGCCCACGGTGATATCTCCCACAACACCAGGCGCGACAACAACAGCAACTGCAACAACAACAGCAGCGGCAACGGCAACAACAGACGTAGCAGCGCCAGCTGCAGCAGAGACAATAAAGACGCAGACGCAGTGCAGAACAAAGGCCTCCTCAGCAGCATCAGCAGCATCAACAGCATCAGCAGCATCAGCATCGGCGACTGCAACAAAAACAACTTCATCAACAGCATCAAGTGATGCCAGCGGCCGTTCGGCGGCTCTGGAACGTGCCTACGTCCATGATGTGTATGAGCACTGCGAGGAGCCGACGAGGCCGGCGCGACCGCGAGTGGCACAGTTTCTGGGGAACCTGGAGCCGGGCTCGGTGGTCTGCGACGTGGGTTGCGGCAGTGGGCGTTACCTGACCCAATGCAATCCCGCCATATGCACCATTGGCGTCGATCGCTGCTATCGCCTCAGCAAGGTGGCGCACGAGAAGGGAGGCGAGGTGAGTGGGCTGGCCACACTGAATGCCATGCAATTGTAATTGATGTTGGTAAATTACTTTGAAGTGGGTCTTACAACTGTGGGGGGGCGTGTCTGGCTGGATAGATAGATGCACATTTTTGTATTCATGCGAACAATAGTTCATTTGTCCTAGTCTTATCTTTCTCTCTCTCCCACTCTCTATCGCTATCGCTTTATACTGTTGGCATACAATTGACCCATTTTAGCCATGGCCAAGCCATCGCCTTTATTGCAGCGCATAAATTATGCTTATCATTTGAAATTATTTGCACATGTTCCCATGGCTTTAGCGAGCGCTGAGCTGAGCTTTAATGCCCCCATAATTGCAATGGCCAACAATGGAGCCATAAAACGAACAGCGTTTTGGTCATTAGAGAGCAACTAATAAAGTGCAGGCGTCGCTGCAGTCAAGTGCATTCAAATCGATAACAAGTCCAACTGAGAATTGCCAACTGGAGACTCTCTGGCTCCGCTCGACAGCAGGCGGCAATATTTCTTGGCCTGCCTGGCTGCAAAGCTGTGCAAATTTAAATGCTCAAATTTATTGCTTTCCATTCAGTGCTTGACCAAAAGTTTCTGCTACAACATTTTTAATAGAACTACATGTAAGAGTGCAGCACCGACTGCATAATACTCATTCATAGTCCAGAAATAATTGAATGTTGCCTTGCTAAATCTCGAGATGATAATTGAAACTCTTGATGCAGAGCTTGAGTGCTTATTTGTATAGATACATATGTACATACATATATCTAGGTATATATACATCTAGGTTTATTAGTCGCAACTTACGTACATATCTCTGTTCACCCATCGGACAAACTGATGAATGGACAGAAGGACGTACAGATTACAAATATGGATGAAGGAACAGAAATAGAAATAATGCATAAAATCAATATACTCCTTTCTTTTTCTGTGCACGAGTAACGTAAAGGAATATTTTGCAATATGAGGAATACAGTTTTGCTGCAGCTTGAAGGTAGAAATTGAAATGTTTCATGAATTGCAAACTTCTTAATAAGGAATACGGTTAATTTATGCATATATAATATATATGTATATTCGAGAAACCAATTTAAAGTTTTATATAGTACACTGCCAGATGAGTCTAGTTTTACATCATATACCTAAGTACAATTCACTACAGAGCAAGAGTAAACTAGAAGAGCATTTACAAATGCAAATTATAAATAAAGTTCAGCCTTATAGAAAACAAAACAAGTTTTCCCCAAGGCAATTTGTATGAATAATAATGAAACCAATTATTCAGCAAGCTTCTGTAACGTATTATATATGTATACATATATTTGTATGTATGCATATACATATATATATATATATATATATATATATATATATACTACACTTCATTTAGATATTTATGGCATGCCTTTAAAAATGCAACTACTTTGCAGTTAGTTGGTTGCCGTTGAATTAATTTTCATTGTGTTCACTTGTTGTTCAATTTTATTGTTGTTTCTCTTTTCTCTGTTGTTGTTGCTGTTGTTGTTGTGAAGTCCACAACATTTCCGTTTTCTTTATAGCAGCGAACAATAAATTTCGTTCCCCAGCTGCCAGCGCCCAGCGCCCAGCGCCCAGCTCCCAGTTCCCAGCTCCCAGTTCCCAGCTCTTAGCTCCCAGAGGTATGCAATAGTTTTTGCAATAATCTATTACACGCGCTTCGTTTCGCTTGGCTTCGCTTATTTATGGTGCCATTTGCAGGCGAGAAATGCCATTTTCTAAGAAATGCATACTATTCACCGCTCCACAATCATCATGCGAGAGTGTGGGAGGGAGAGGGCGAGGGAGTGCGCCTCTTAGCGCCGCGCCCTAGGCTCTGTCGCAGGCATTTTTCGCATTTAAATTGCATTCGCTGGCATTGCGTGGGGCTTAAAGTTCGCATGTAATAATGGCAAGGACAACAACGAGGACGGAGACGACGTCGCCGTCGCCGTCGCCGTCGCCGTCGCCTAGGGTTACTGTTCAATGGAATTGCAAGCGGCCAGGGTTGCCACCTTGCCGTCTCCTAGCCAAGCGGCAAAGTGCACACAATTTAGTATAAATGCTTTCATTTATTTAATAACCAGTCCCATTGCCATTATCCCCGGACAGGAGAGACGGCGTAATGTGTCCATGATGGTTTGATTGTTGCAATTGTTGAGTCCTTGACATTTCATTGTTATCCATTAGGGACAATTATATTTTTTGTTGGAATTATTATTAAACCTAAAATCGTACGAACAAAATTGCGATTAGTTTTGATTAGATCAGTTAAAGAGCATTGAAAGGTCTGCAACTATATATTCGAAGGTTAATATCTAATTTAAGTGAAATTAGCTTCAATGAAAATGTGTAATTCTGTTTATTAGTAGGTAAAGAGGCAAAGAATAGGTAAGGATCAAGTTACATCCCCACATTGTGGCCAAGATTTGTTTCATAAGTTGCATGTTCTGTATATTTCCGAAACGTTGGTAAAATGAGTGTTCCATAAACTGAAAATATTAGATACTTTAGTTTATCATATATAAAACCACAGTCAGACAGAGACAGCTCTAAGGAATGCATGAACGATCTATAGATTTTTCAGTTAATAACCGAGATTATGGAAAAATAATATATATACGAATTTACCTCTCTATTAGCTGATTCTTGAGTGCGATAAATATAGTAAATTTACCAAAATTTGTGAGCTATAGAAGAGAAGTGCAATTTCTCTTCTCTTCTCTCTCTCTACTCAGCAGATTTATCTGCTTTATAACTTAAGACTGAATGAGTTATTGAAGCCAAATTACATGGAGTATGTCGCATTGTATGCACAGCTCAAAAAATATCTCTAAAACTAATATTATTGAGCTATGCAGATAATTTATGCAATATTAAATGCCCACAAGCGGAATGTTGCTCTCTGCATTTATATAAACGCATTTGAATCGCTGAGCATGCCAAGGGCACTATTTAAATTACAATATGTCGAATTTGTCTTTTTTTGTTGAATGCGGATGGTATGTCATCCGTGTGAGTGTATGTGTGTATGTGTGTTAAATAAACTTAAATGCATAAAATGTAAAAGGCGTAAGCGACTCACGTGACCTGCATACGAATGCAGTTTGATACTTTGATTGCGACTGTTACTGTTGCCATTCTTCCACAAAAAAAAAAAACAAAAACAGAAGAAGAGAAGAAGAAGTGAAAAGCAAGATAAAAACGAAAACTATGTGAAAAACCAATTTAACTTCGACTATATTTACATATATCTGCTGTGCTGTTGCTCTTGCTGCTGCTGCTGCTGGTACAAAAGTTTCAGTCGCTGTCAGGCAACTTTGATTTCAGAGCTCGTGCATGGCCTGATTTACTATAATTTTGTAAAGCAAAAAAAAAAAAAAAAAAACTGCCAAGTGGAGCAGGCTATGCAGCAGGCATTAAGCAAATAACACACACACACACACATACATAGATTCGTGCACGCAGCCTGCACTCATAAATTTTGTTGCTGCCCGAAATGACGCATTGAAAAGGAAAAACAAGAAGGCAGCAAATAAAAAGCCCCAAAACACAAATAAAAAAAGGATGAACTCAGCGAATGCAATGAGATTCGTTGCCAGCTCTTCCTCTTCTTTTTCTTCCTTCGCTGCTTCTATCGCTTTTCAGGCCAAATCTTTGAGCTTTGTGCCCGTCGACTGCTGTCGACCTGCCGCAGCCATCAAGACTTCCACCTGCTCTCTTCGTTTTTATGTGCTCTGTGGTTCGTTTAAGCGCCATTTAAATAAGCTGCTGCCAGCCAAAGCAGGCTAACACAGATGTACACAGATATACATATACACCTGCATATATACAGACTTGAATTTTTCTATATGTATTTGCAATTGTTTTTTTGGTTTCTACTCGCTTTGCTCTGCAGCTTGGCTGTGCTTTGGCCCCCCTATTAGTGTGCAACGTGGCGTATGCGTAACGTGTTTCACCTGACGCTCACAATATTAAGACGGAGCTGCATTGAAAACTTGTCAACATAAATTTCTAAAGCGTAATGTGCACGACCAGTGTGACATTACACACCCACAAAGAGACTGTGTGTATGTATGTGTGTGTGTGTGTGTGTGTGTGTTTGTGAAAAATGGCAACTGCTATAAATACAATTTGTAAAGAGTATGGAGAAATGTCAGCGCGTGCATTCATGACACCGGAACATGTGTTTAAAAAAGAATAAAAATCGAAGAACAGAAAAAACACACACACGCACACACACACACATGGTCTACCCACAGCACTAAAGTCGAAAGCGAATGGGCGGCAGTTTTATGTGCAGCTCCATACAAATGCCAAAGTCGCATAAACAACACCACGCCCACTAGTGGGCAGCGAAATGGACTCGACTTTTTTTATCAATTCTACAGAAATATTTATATGAAGCGAAATATAAAAACGCTAGCGAAAGGATTATTGTGGTTTAATAAAGATTGTTTATCCATATAGATGTAGAATGGTTAAGACTCGATAGATATATAGATATATATATATATATATATATATATATATATATATATATATAGATAGATATAGAGATCGTCTAAATATATAAATTACTTTGCTGCATATATGCTATGCTCTAAGTGTACAGAGGGTGCATTTTAGTTTTCTCTGTGATTTCTGAAACTTTTGCTGTGGCTTTACATAATTTCTATTGCAAGTCAGGTTACAAACTTGACGAACTTTCCATTTTCATGGAAAAATGAGAAACTTTCTTGTCATCCACATAACATTTGGCGTTGCATTTGCACGACCTCAGCTCCTGCAGTTGTCAACTCTGAGAGCAAACACTTTACTTAATTGATATTTTGCTGCTGATGTTCAGCAAAAAATAAGAAAAACGAAAAGAATAAGAAAAAAAGGAATGAGAACGAAAATAAAAGTGTTTTGCCACAAGTTGAGCTGCAACGTCTGTTGCATTGGTCCTTGGATGACATGCCCAAGTACCTGCCTGGTCAGCTGCCGTTGCTGCAGATCCACACAGCGGGACGAGGGGCTGCAGGACTCCCGCTTTGGCTGGTGGGTCAAGGCTGTTGCAGTACCACACACACACACACACACACACACACACAAGAACAGAGCAAAGGATATCTGGCATTATTGCAACGTACAAATTATATTTGAGGCACGTGCAACGCAAGAGGGGCCACATATGCCCAGCCATTGTCCAAATGAATAGATATTTCACACAAATTCACGTAGCCAGGCAGAGGCTGGCAACAGTAATCGCATTGATATTGGTTTGGCAACACGATGCATTAATTCATTCAGTGTAATCGATGCTAGTTTATTTCAAATCGCATTTCATGGAAAATTGCAAATGAATCGTTAAATGATTGAGCTCCTCGTATACGTGCGAGCAAGTCCATTGCATTACGCTCGTCCACCTACGGATTCAATTTGTCCCCGATTTGTTTACTTCCCTTTTGATCAAAGTTAATTGACACTTTGAACACTGTCCGTAACAGGGGAATGAATATAAACGACGTGTATCTATAAAAAATATATATAAAAATAAACAAGCCACACACACACACACACATACACACGCACCTTCACATGCATGCAGTTGAGTAAGGTCAGTTCACTGGGCACACATTTTTTAAACGAACTTTTTCAATTGAAGCGAACAGAAACAAGACCAACTCAATGCAGATGGGCCAACCGACCACTACATGTAAGCATGCGATTGTGTGTGTGTGTGTGAGTCTGTATACACTCGCTCCAGCACTTCAATGGCAAATTGGGTTTACCAACTAGCAATTTTCATGAGGCGAGCGTGTTAACTTTGTTTTCACCCAGCTGAACAGAAATTCAGTTAATTGCAAACTCTTGTTGCCAACCGAAAACTTCCAACTATAATTTCGGCAGCTATGCAAATTGCATTAAAGTATTTTCTATGAAAATCCAAAAATTGTTTTCATTTCATTTCTAATTACCGTCTCTGGCAAACCTGAAACCAGACTCAAACTTTGTTAAGCTCATGTATAAGAAATTTTTAATGCAATCATGGGTAGTTGCTTATTCAGTTCAATTATATTAAATTTGAGTGGGATATATATAGTTAGGTATACTTTATTACTACTTTAGTAATACGAGAAACAACTTTTTGATTTGGTTAACTTGACAACAAATAAATTCATGTCATAAGTCTTAATAAATTTAAATTTTAATCAAATGAGACACCTTTCAAATATTTTTAGCTATTGCTAGGACTATAATTTATTAATTTTAATTTTAATATTACTTTCACATTTTTTATTATTTTTTTTTTTTTTTACCTTTGACTTTATGTTCATTAACGTATACGCGACTCTTTATTTCATCAATCTCTAGCATCAGCTCTCGCATAATATATGCTTGAAGCCGTATTCAGTTAAAATTCCTAACAGTACGACTAACTATAAATGCAAAGCCGTAAAATGCAGCTTGGCCTTTGGAATTTGTTGCATTGCTAGTGTCTCAGAGGTTTTTGGTTTGCGCAACGCAAACGCAACATTCTCAAGTGAAATTAATAAAACGTAACTAAAAGAGAGCAGGAGCAGCAGGAGCAGCGCAGGAATGCCTTTGGTTGGTTACTTAGCCAGCGGTCAGCTTTGCTTAGCTGCAGTTATGCAGCAGGAGGCACTTGCAGTAGGTTGAGGCGTGGGCGTAGTAGGTGGGGCTAGTTGCAAAGGGGATCTATTATAGGAGTGGAGAAGCAGAGAGAGACGGTGTTGGCTTGGCGTCTTGCGTAATTTAATTGGCTGAGAATGCAGTAGCTTTAACTCGTATTTCCCTTGGCACCGAGTTGCTCGAAATTACATTGCGCTCTTTGGCCCACAGGTGGCGCTGTGTGACAATCTGGAGCTGCCGTTTCGCGATGATAGCTTCGATGCGGTGCTCTCGCTGGCCGTAGTGCATCACTTTGCCACCACGGAACGTCGCGTCAGAGCGCTGAGGGAACTGGCCCGCATTCTGCGCGTAGGCGGCCGTGTGGTAATCACTGTGTGGGCGCTGGAGCAGCGCCATCGACGCTTCGAGTCGCAGGATGTGCTGATACCCTGGCAGCCGCCCAAGAATCGCACCTACTCCTACTCGTACTCCGACGAGGAGGAGGACGGAGACTTTCTGCCGCCCTATCATGCATACACGGAGGACTCGACCAATTCCAGTCGCTCGGCCGGCGATGGCGACAGCTCAAGCCTCAGCTCATCCTCGCCCGGCGAGTCCTGCTACAGCTTTGTGCGCCGTGCCATACAAGTGAGTGCAGCCGTTGATCACAGGATGTGCTTAGGCATTACTAATTTGTGGTTTCCATTTGCAGAAATTGGCTGGCGGACGTCGTCATGCTTGGTTCCTGGACTCCTGGACCTCCAAGGACACCAAGAACGACAGCAGCCTGGACTACGAGGATGCCAAGGATCTGCCCATCGAGCTGCGTCGCCTCGAAGACTTTGAGGACTTCCCCGATCCGCCGCTCTCCGCGGGCCTCAAGTCACGCAGCTTGGGCAGCATCCTGCAGCCGCCGCCGCGCCAAATCGTGCGCTCGCGCTCCAGCGTGCCCAGTCTGGGCGGTCCCCTGGTGCCCGTCGAGACGAAAGCCAGCGCCGCAGCCGCCCTGCTGCTCAGCGCGCCCGATGCCCAACTGCCGCTCAACGGCCGGCACTCGCCCACGAGCACCGCCAGCGCGGGCAGCACGCTGAGCCGCCGGCCCAAGCTGATCAAGCAGAAGCAGTCGCTGTGCGAGGACGACATCATGCAGCTGGCAGACGTAGCGCCGGACGCTGAGGCAGCGTTCCACATGGTCAGCAGTTACAATGGCGCCAATGGAGCTGTCACCAGCAGCCTCTGCGCGCGCTCTGGCGCCAATCCAGCGCCAGTCAGCTGTCAACAGCCCAGCAGCTCCGCCTCGGCGACGGCAGCAGCAGCGCCCACAACAGCTGCTGGAGCGGCGCCCAGCTTCCTGCGCAAGCAGAGCTCCCTGAACGAAGAGCTGATGGCGGGCAATCGACTGCGCGAGAAGGAGCGGGTGCGCAAGCGCATACAGAAGCAGACCTCGCTGAACGAGGCCTTCCTCTGCCGCTCGGCGTTGTTCTCCAAGCGGCTGCAGGTCATCCGGGAGGGATTCACCACCAAGATCAAGAGCTCGACGGGCAGCTTGGAGCGCGTGACCAAGACGGGCATCACGAAGCTCATTCAGAACATCAAAATCTCGCCCGCCAGCCAGACGGCGGCTAACCCGCCTGGTAATCCCCAGCAGGCGAACAATAACAACAAGCAGCCTACGACGCCAGCTGCGCAGACCCTGCAGCAGCAGCAGCAGCATCAGCACCACCACCACCACCATCATCATCATCACACGAGCAACGCGGGCAGCCTGTTCCCGGCCCACCTGCTGCTGTCGACGGCGACCACTGGCCCAGTCAGCTACTGCAGCGTCGTGGACTGCAGCGCGCCCAACATCTGCCACTGCAGCGCCTATCAGCAGGACTGCGTGGCCTGTGTGGCCTGCGCCGAGAGCGAGCAGGGCAACGCGCGCCGGCACTCGCGCGAGTCCGGCTCCGACTCGTCCAAGGACAGCAGCCTGCAGTCGGACACGAGCATTGAGTCCGAGGACAGCTTCGCCTCGGTCATTTTCATACCCAAGCCGGAGCAGCATCAGCAGCAGCTCAACTACCAGCAGCAGCATCAGAACTCCAACTCAAGCTCCAGCAACTCGAGCTCCAGCAATGGAGCCCAGGCGGCCTTGGCTGCGGCGTCCAATCCCAACGCAGCCGCCCAGCCCAGCTGTCTGGCGCGTCTGCCGCCCACACATTCCGTGCCAACATCGCCGCTTGTGATGCCCTGCCCGCCGACTCCTGCCCACTCGCCAGCCGCCATTCAGGGCGCGGTCACCTCGCCGCCCCAGTCGACGGCGGCCGTGACGGCAGCGATGGCCATCTTGACGCCCGTCGGCAGGCCAAACCAAGCGCGCTTCAATTTTGACGAGGCGCACATCAAGCAGCAACAACAGGAGCAACCGCAGCAGCAGCAGCAACAGCAGCAGCAACCGCAGCCGCAGCAGCCGCAGCAGCCGCAGCAGCAGCAACAGCAGCAGCAGCAGCAGCCGCAACAGCCACCGATCCCCAAGATCACGAGACAAGCGATACGTGAAATGCCGCCCATACCCAAGTTCCGCAAGCAGCAATCGCTGCAGCTGCAGCGCCAGAACTTTCCCATCGTGCGACGGGCGTCCGGCTCGGGCGCGGCCGGCAGCAGCAGCAGCGCCAGCAAGCTGCTCTCGCTGGAGCTGTTCAATCCGGCCACCGATGATCTGGACAGCGACTCCAGTGAGCCGTCCTCGCCGGACTCCATTGACAGTGTGATCAGCGCGCCACGCTCCGCCCAGCTGCTCTCGGCCCCGAGCACTGGCACCGGTAAGTCCAGCGACGAGTCGGAGCCGGCGCTGGTGCAGCTCATCACGATCAACCAGGAGCAGTACCACAAGGGCGAGCTGCAGATCAACAGTGCCACGCCCAACGAAAACGACATCATACTCAATGCGGACAGCGCTCCGCTGCTGCCCAAGAAGCGCGAGGCTGGCCAGGCACAGGCCCAGCAGCCGCACGACTGCGCCGAGTTCGCGGAGCAGCTGTCGGCGCAGCTGCAGCGCGAGCTGGACGACAAGAGCAATGGAGCAGAGTGTCGCAGCTTGGATAGCATCGGCGACATTGGGGAGTACTTGAGCGGCGCCGGCAGTGCGGGTGGCGGCAGCTCGAGCAGCGGCTCCAAGAAGCGTTCCAATGGCGATCTGAGCGCACTGCGGGACGAGCTGCGCGAGCGACGTCTGATGCTGGCCAATCTGTCGACCCAGCCCAGTCTGCAGCAGTCGCCCATATCGTCGTCCACCTCCTCGCTTTCCTCCCAAACGCGCAGCTTCACCATACACGAGGAGCAGGAGGGCGAGGAGGAGGATGAGGAGAACGAACGCAGCTACACGCTGGGCATCTACGAGCACTGCAAGATCTCCAAGTTCAACTACAAGCGCCATCGCCACTATAATCTCAACCCGGAGACGGCCTACCTGCTCCAGGAGGATGGTGACAGCGACGTCCGCGACGACGAATATCGTGAGTAGACAATGTTCTGTATGTTAGGGACTCTAAGCTATAATCCATTTGGTTTCCCTACGCAGCCATACCGGAGGAGGATGAGGATGCCGAGGCGCTGGAGGCACGCGGCGGCGACCAGCTGGGCGAGGGCATGCACGAGTACGGGCAGCGCAGGCGCAACTTCAGTGCCATCAAATCGGTGACCTCCAGTGCGTCCAGCTCCACGGAAACACCACCTGCGCAGCAGCCCACACAGCAGCAGGCGCTGCAGCAGCGCACCTCTGCCGACTCGCTGGAGCACTCGAACAGCTCAAACACCTCGCTAGACAGCCCCTCCCAGGGTGGCTCCACCACCCATCATCGCTACTACCACGTGTTCCGCGAGGGCGAGCTGGACGCCCTGATCAATCACCATGTGGCCAGTCTGCATATTGTGAGCTCCTACTACGAGCGGGCCAGCTGGTGCGTTGTGGCCGAGAAGGTGCAGGTGTGGACGATCTAAGTTAGTAATCTAAGAGTAAAATAATAATAATAATATTAATTAAAAAAAAAAAAAAAGCTAAAATAATCTATTTATAAACAACAAGTGTAATTGGAAAACCCAAAAAGTCTCTGAAGCCCCCAAAGGAATTGTTAAATTTAGTCTTTATTCATAGTTGAGAGAACGCAAAATTCTAGCACTAAATTTTAAGTATTCGTAACGACTCTTGCTTAGGGCTGCCAGGCCTGCTCAACGGCAGGGCTGCCGCACTGCATTGAAATTGAATTTCAAGTAAACCGTTTAGTTCTTAAGCCAAAATCGAAAGAAACAAAATCGAAACAACGCAAATTACGAATGGGAGAAAAAGTATTGTATCAAAACTAAACAAATTCAACGATATATATATACAAAGATCACTTACAACGACTATCGAATTTCATTTACCATCACGACTTGGGAATGTTTTCTAAATACCATTTGATTTCACACATCCATACATATACGAATAATTACAGTTATAGCGAAAATCTAACTAGGAGTTACTTAAACCGCAAATCAATAGAGAAAATGCAAAAACCATATCTAAGCATCTATATATATACCAAGGCTTTATACACGAAACTTAATGAAAATATTGTCGAAAAACTGAAATCTATCTAGCCACATATACACCTATTAAAATGCAAGTGAAAATCAATACGTAAGTTTTCTAATATCAATAACTGCATTTAACAATACTCAATGCAAAACTAATCAAAAGGGAAAAGCAGCAGAAATATATAGAATCGTATATACATTTTGCAAAGCTCACAATAATAATTGTATAACAATTTCAATAATTTTTTTGTAACTTTCCAACTTTGATATTTACTTAGCACATATTTGTTTCTATTAAAAACAAAAAAGCAAACAATAAATAAAAACATAAACGATTTAAGTGAAACACTTCCCAAACGGCCAACAAACCCGAACATATGAAATATTAAACAAAATATATGTTAATAACTCTTTTTTGTCACCTAAGGCGAAGTTATTTAAAAAATAACGCAAGTTTTCAATATGTATATTTCGACTGTACATGAGATTTTTAGATAGCTAAACTAAACTTTATACCGTACAATATTAGAAAATGAAAAGTTGGATGATTGAATTAGAACGCAACTTCGAGACACTATGAGATCGATTTATAATTACGTATATGCGCTCGATTTGCTGAATATGTATTTACAAAATATTATAGTATATACATAATTAGTATTATGTAACTTGAAAATACGTATTATGTATTTGCACGACCCACACAGAGATAGACACAACAGCTGCAAAAAGTAACATACACTACCAGACAAATTCAATAAATTAAAAACAAAATGGAAAAACAACAATTTGTTAAGCGAAAAAAGATATATTTAATAAACTACAACTACCAATACTTACAAATGAAAAAAATATTTTGCCTTTTTCATTATTTCATAACGTTCTTTTTTAAAGAAAATATCTCACGGGCTTGGCAGCACTTTTACGATTTGGCAGCACTGTTAATATGCAGGTGAGGGCAGCACTACGTCGATAAGTAAACTTATCGAAAATACTCGATTCTTGCAGTGTTCGTAAAGATTGAGTAAATTCATTTAATTTCGCATTAGACAAAATAGAGTCTTATATATAAATATTTCTGGAATGTCTTCGCGCTAATATTAAATTTGAATTAAGTGCGCGCAAATCCCAATGCGAGAGCAAAAGTATCGATACAGCAAATCGTCAACCAGAAGCATGTTTATTACTGCGTAGGTCGAATTTTTTGCACATAAACATGGGAAATGTGACGTCACATAAGAAGAGTTTCTCTTACATTGCCAATTTAAAAATACATTTATCAATTTTGCTTTATTTAAATAGTAGCAAAACTTATGAAATTGATATGTTTTTTCTTTTAGCCAGCATTCATACTGATTTACTTCAATTGACGCTTGGTGAAGCAGACGTCGAGAGAGTAACCGGACCCTCGTTGCAATGTAACCTCTCTCTAGCATTCGCTCCCACACACATTCAGCTCTCTCAATGCAACCTCGACCATCGTTTTACACATCTATACAGAGCAGAATTTCGTCGTATTTAAATTAAATAAAATGCAGTGAAAAAAGGAGTACAATTTGTAAAATTAACGCGAAATGGCTACCCAAAAGCCTGGCGAGTGGGCGACTGGTCTGCTGACTCGATTCGAAGATCAGGTAAAGGTTTTACAGCGTTTTCAATATGTTGCGTCGCGCTGCCTTCGAGCAAAGTGAAAAAATGTACCTGCTGCTGGTGTTGTTTTGGTGTGGGTGTCGGTGTTAAGGAGGTGGGGCTTGGGCGCTAGTGGGGCCGGCGAGGCTTCATTCATGAAATGCCGAGCTCTGATTTGTTGAATGAAGTGCCGAGACGCGCATACCCTTAATGGGATGTTTTGCGATTCACTAATAAAGTTGCGAATTCAAATTCGCGATTTTAATTGATAATGTATTATAAGTAAACAAACGCTTTAAGATAAATACGTACATCAAAAGCTGTTAGATTGTCTTTTTATAATGTTAATTAATAAAACTTTCATTTGCAGCTGCCATACAAAATCGGAGCATATGGCACTCAGGCTCGTATGAGCCAGGATCAGTTGGTGACATGCCTCATACACATCTCTCGATACCGCTTCTCTCTGGTCATCTCCGGTCTGACAAAAATGCTGCAGCGCGTCAACGAGGCTGTAAGTATTTCACAGTCCTTAAAATACTAAAGGAAAATGCTAATTATAAATAATTACAGGCGCGACAACCGCGTCATGAGCCTGAACGCTGCTACTTTGAATCTCTGGTCATCATATTGACTACGCTGGAGCGCTGCCTAACGAATCAAACGAAAGATACCGCACGCTTTGAGGAGGCCATGAATGTAAAGCTCCTGTTACGCGAAATTTCCCAATTCGTAGACGTGCAGAGCGATAACAATCCCAATGCGGCTCAACTAAAGGCTCTCGCCTCCAAGGTGCTCTTTGCACTGTCCCAGAATCACTTCTCGGCTGTCTTCAACCGCATATCAGCGCGCATTCAGGAGCTGACATCGTGCTCCGAAGAAAATCCCGACTACAACGATATTGAATTGATACAACACATTGATATGGATATGATTAAGCTGACCAAGCTGTTGCAAGGTATAACAGCATATCATTACTTTCGGATTTGTATTAATTATTTATCCCTTGCAGAAACAATTACCAAATTTCGCTCAAAGCGCGCACCGCCTCTCATTTTGCTGTACTCCTTAGAGAAAGCCATTTGGAATTGGATCGAATATCATCCACAGGAATTTCAGGACTTGCAACGCGGCACTAATCGCGATATATCAACGTTAGCTAGCTTATATCTAGTTATGGAATTCTACTAATATAAAATTTGCATTTTAGCTGCTGGGAGCCCCTGCTGGACTTTGTTGAGTACTTTAAAACCGAGAATAAAAAGAGCAAAACTTTAGTTTGGCCCCTGCAAATGCTGTTGCTCATTCTAAATCCCTCCAGTCTGGAGGCCACTGTCAACGAGCTGCAACAGTCGGAGAAGGAAAAGGAAAAGGAGAAGATGCCCTCGAAGTCGACACAATCCACGTCACGCGACAAAGACTTCTCGGCCAGGCAATTCATTGAGAGCATCAAACGTGGTCTGGGTCCACATTCGCCATCCAAGCAGGTGACGGAATCCTCGGCCATAGCTTGCGTCAAACTCTGCAAGGCGTCCACGTACATCAATATCAATGACTCCAACAATGTGGTCTTCAAGTTGGTGCAATATTTCATTAACGACCTTAAGGCGCTGCTCTTTAATCCCGTGAAGCCGTTTTCCCGCGGCCAGGGCTACAATTATGCAGATATTGAACTAATGATTGACTGCTGGGTCTCGTGCTTCCGTATCAGTCCACACAACATAGAGGCTCTGAAAGTGTGCTTGAATCTCTCTTCGCCGCAGGCCTATCACTTCGTTATCGTGTGCTCCTTGTTGCGGTGAGTGAAATGTGAAGTTAAATGTAAATTCAAATATTTATATGCATTGTACAAATTTACAGCCTAGCGCACATTTATGTGGATTTTCGACTGCAAAATAAGAATCCCTTTCGCATTGTCAACCAGCCGCGTCTTCCCTGGTGGCCGCAGACCGACGTCGTGCATTATCGTTCCGCTGAGCTACGCGCTCTCTTTACGGATACTCTGAATAAAGCTACGCAGGGCTATATAGCCCACACACCACTGCGCTACATAACTTCGTTAACGCTCAAGTCCAAGGACACGCAAAAGGGTCTGACTCGTTCAGAGGAGGGACCAGCCCATAAGATGCTATTGCTGCTATTAGTGCGTCTCATACATGCAGATCCTACGCTTCTCTTAAATGTAATCACAATCATACATTCCTATTCTAAAAAATTTAAACTAATTTACATTTCCCTCATTTCCAGACGCAAGGCAAAGTGGCGCATGAAGTGCAAAGCTCAACTCTGGAGCTTATTAATGGCCTGGTAAGCCTGGTGCATCAAACGACCTTGCCAGATGTGGCACAAGAGGCCATGGAAGCCCTACTCGCCCTGCATGCACCCGAAAAGATCGAAGTCTGGAATCCAGAAGCACCCATTAACACATTCTGGGATGTCAGCTCGCAGGTCCTCTTCTCCATCTCTCAGAAGCTTATTCAGCATCAGATAGCCAACTACACTGATGTACTTAAATGGCTCCGTGAAATACTGATCTGCCGGAACACATTTCTTCAGCGGCACAAAGACTATGCCCATGTGGGTAGCCAGATTGCCATATGCAAGCAGGCGCACATTAAAATGGAAGTGGTCTTCTTTATGTATTTGTGGAGCGTGGATTTGGATGCGGTCCTGACTTCGCTTTCCTGTTTTGGCCTGCTCTGCGAGGAAGCGGAGATCTGCTGCAGCTCCGATGAGTTAACAGTGGGCTTCATCATGCCCAACTACCACATTTACCAGGAGCTAGCCCAACTCTCTTCATGTGAGTTAAATGCGATTTCTAAGCATATGGTTATTATTTGTAACACCATCCATACATTTCAGCCGCCACGGATACACGTATTTGTTTCTTTGAGAACAGTCATGGCAACGTGAGCCGTGGGAAGCTCCAAAAGCGTATTATGCCACTGCTGCGAAAGATCGAGCACTGTGTGCATGGTGTCCAGCCCGCCTGGGAGGAAACCTTTCGAAATTGGGAGGTGCTCAGTAAGGTGCTCCAGACTCACCCCAAGGTTAAGACCGAGGATGCGCAAGCAGAAGTGTTCCATCGTGGCTTGGGCAAACGTCGTGCCAGCCACCAAAGCTCCGAGCATGATCTAGAAGAACAAATCACCGAATGGGCCAATATGACCTGGTTCCTGCTGACCTTGGGTGGCGTTTGCCTCCAGAAACGCAGCAACAGCCGCCAGCTCTTGTTGCAACAGTCGCAGAACAACTCGGTAGCATCACTGGCACAGGCGTCTGTCTACTCGAGCTCGACTAGCTCAGGACATGGATCACTGCATCCCAGCACGGTCTCCTTGTCCACCATACCACCAGCGCCGCCCCAGGATGTCAGCTACTGCGCAGTCACACAGTGCGTATAAAATTAAATAATAATTATAGAGATATAATAATGATAATTATTCTACTTTAGATTCATTGGGCAACTGCTGCGCTTGTTGGTCTGCAGCAATGAAAAAACGGGCCTACATATACAGAAACATGTGAAGGAACTTGTGGGCGAGG